AATCTTTACAGATTTGTTACTTTTGATTCAAGCTACAATTCTGTTAGAATAGATTTTTATTTGATTTATAATTTGAAAAAGTTATAGTACAGTTTATATACTGTATTAGCATTTCATTAGCATAATAATTGATAAATATTCATTGCAGGAATCTTACATTTTTGCGATAGCGGCAAAATATCCTAGATCTAGTGTAAATTAATAATATAGGACGCTAAGAGGAAATTTTCATAGTAAATCTCAAATTTAGTTTCTTACTAACACGATTAACGAGGTATTAACGAGGTTTCTAATCTTTCACACTCTGTCAAAAACGTAAGATTTCTGTAATGTTAAATTATAGTAATAAAATGCTAATAAAGTGTTTAGATCAGTAAAAAGTTTCATTTAATAGTGCATTATCAGCACTATTAAATTGCTTATTTTTAGCAAGTTCAATTTTGACAGATTTTTGTCAAGTATTTTTCCTCGATGTAAATGTTCGAGTTATCAACAATGGCATGAACGAGTCCAGTATTTCGGTCACTGAGTTTATGAGAGCCATCAATAAGTTTAAGGACTTGTTACAAAAAGGAGATAAATGCATCTTTGTTCCAACTATTGATGACTTCTAATAAGAAACTTTGCAATGACAGACTAGAAATTATGCGATTGATTCCAAGTTCTCAGAATGCCCACTCTGAGAAGCAATTCACATGTAGAACAATAAACCTTTTCGGCAAGTATTCTTTAAAAAACATTGGTTAAACTTTTAAGTTGCATGTAAAAGAGATGTGGAAAGAACTTAGAAAATACGGAAATGGTTGGGAAAATTATAGATTACACACCAAGGTGTTTGAAAAAATACTTATGAAAAAGGTTTATTGTTCTACTTGTAATTGAAGCCCAGAGCCAACATTAAAACTATAGATGCTGGTGAAACTGGTGGCTATCTAAAATCTGATTGGCTGTTATATTAAATTTCACCAGTTTCACCATCATTTATTTTTTTTAGTTTTTTAATTGTTTTTATTTTATTTTTCACCAAGAATTTCACCAGTTTCACCAGCTCAGCATCTATAGTTAAAACTGGCTTTAGTTTGAATAACAATGTAATATCAAATTTTAAGAGAATGACAATAGGAAAGTCAGAACCCTCGTAGCTTAAATGTAAAAGTGACTTTTTTTTTTTTGACTTTGGTTTTACATTACACCAGATCTTGCGTTAGATGATTTGCATATCGATATGCAATGTTTGTTATTGCTGAATCTAACGCTAATTGACACAAACACCACGTACCTGGTAGGGCGTCCAGGATCATGATGCGACATAATATGTGCTGTACTGCACACGCATTATGCGTTAGGGGCTAATTAGTCTGATCAGGTGGTCAGAATTTATATTAAATCACGGTTTTTAATGTACTAGCTAGTTCTATCGAATAAATCACGTTTTAACCAGGTAGTTAAACTACTTAACATCCCTATTATGCGCCGCATAATATGTAGAATAGAAACTAGAGTTTGGAACCAATATACTGTATTTTTCATAAGTTAAAACCGTTTTAATAATATGATCATCATATCGAAATTATTAAATCAATTTTAAGCAGTCTACGTACATATATACAAAATAAAAAACCTAAAATAGATATATATCTAAGTATTCGCAATTTTAAATTATACTCTTTATAGAAAATATACATAAGCTTATGTAATGTATAAAAACTTATTTTTGCATATTTTACATAATTTGTGATATAGCGCAATTTGTCGCTATCCTCACATCATAATTCTGGACACCTTGTGATGTCGATACACATCATGAATCATTATAAAACAATGTTTGTCGAAGGAAACTACGACAGATTATTGCTTTTTTGGTGACTAGAATTGTTATCTGTTTTATTTGAAGTCAGCTTTAGCGCAACATAGAGCTTACCGATTTATAATTCGAATAATATATTAGAATAATTTATTAGAATAATTTATTTCAGCAAATATATTATTCAGATAAGTACTAATTATTCGAATAAAATTTGCTTATTTGCGTTATTCATCAGATAATTTTTATTTGAATATTCGTCGGACGGATACAAATATTATTCGAATAACGAATACGAATAACGAATACGAATACTAAGCTTACTCAAGCCGACAGAGCCACATCTTAAACTACAGCGTAGAGCTGCAGCTTAGCTAACATGGAAACCATGAAACAATAATTTTTGGAACCGAGGAATGAATTGGTCCCAAATCGTTCCACTGATTTTATGTTATTTAAACCAAAATTTCAATAGCACTTATTGAAAAATAGTGGCAAACTTACTCTAACAAATATGGTCGTATCGGACCTAAATCGGTCCAAGACTGGTCCTAAAACTTACATTTTGGAAATTTTTCAAGTTTTAAGAAGTTTCTCCATTATTTTTCAATAAGTACTATTAAAATTTTGGGTTAAATAACTTTAATTAGTGGCTCATGAAGAATAAATGATCTCAAAATCTTGCAATCTGCTTGGGACTGACAGGGCCAATCCATCCCTAGAAATAACACAAAGATTATATTTATGTTTTATATAAACGCTATCACAGAATTAGAGTGTTTAATAGTACGTATTGCTAAATGTAAAGCACGGAAATGATGGGCCTCTATGTTCGATGTTTCCTAATGGTGTCCGTAAGCTGTTAATTGATGTTTTCATGATTAGTTATTGTAATTTATAATATGTTTTTCAGTGTTTTAAAGTAGGTGATGTGAACATATTTTAGTTTAGATTTTGTATATTTAAATGTGATAAAAGCATTTGCCATCCCTACTTGAATGTGTGTTAGCGGTATAGCAAGTATAGCCTTGAGTACATATTTAGTTTTAGATTTAATTAGCCTCGATATTAGTAAATTTAGATATAAAGAATGTTTAAAATGTTAGTACTAATAGTTCGATGCCTTCGCTATGTCAAAGTTATAATGTAATTAGCTAGTGATTCATATCAATATTCACAGGAAACTTTGTTCGTAGAACCACTTAAAAAAAAACAAGTTCAACCTTACATCTTGTAAATGTCAGCCATCCTGTGTAGAGATGTGCCTGAGATGCTGATATCATCTTCTCGCGAAATAAATTTTTAATAAAGAAAATTTTAATGATTAGTGATTAAATTCAACTGTTGTTTAATAAAAATGATAGGAGAGGGTGAAACCCGCGTTTAGCTATGTTTTTTATTATGCAAAAACGGATTTCGCCCTCATGTGATCTGCATTGCGGATTTTACTAATTCACAACGTGGGTTTCACCTTGTCGCAAAATAATTAGATTAAAAAAAAAAAAACAATAAAGCAATCACAAACCAATAATCCACTAAACTCTCCCATATGAGGTCACCTCACATTTCGCGAGGTCATATGACATACGAAATATATGCTAGGTTGATCGCGCGAGAGGCACATTTCTAGTCCTGTGCTTTGTAGACTTCCACTTGCCTAATTTATGAATTGTGAATGATAGAAATTTTTATAAGAGAATATCTGAACAAGTGTTATTATTTTTTCTTTTTAATGTTAGGTAAGGTTCAGAGCAAGAGTAGACCATAAAAGTTTCTTTGGTTTTTACAAACTTATGTACACTCAATTTATATACTATATGTACTTTATTATAAATTTTGTCTATAATACTTGCTTATAAATTATTCACCTTACTCATAAATTACATCGTTCATGAAATTCTTAAATATTGTGTTTTTTTAGACGTGTACTTTCTTATAGCAGCTTGAAACCTTCGTAATTTGAATTTTTTGTATACTAATTTTTGTATACTAATAAAATCTTTATCAAATACTTTACAAAAATAATATAATTTCGACAAAGTTAATTGGTCCGGAGCAAAGCGGAAAATTCTACATTTCTATAAAATGATCATTTGTTCGTTTGTACACGTGGCAACAGACCAATAAAACAGTAACATAGTTGCACACAATTAACTTCAGGCATATTAATGTTATGCATTTACCAAATTTTCAGATTTATTTGCTGAATTAGTTTTAGATCTTTTTGAAAACTATCGTTGCAATTTGCACTTCGAATTTTATTGTGCTATTGATACATTTATGTAATAATTTTGATTTGTGTAAATTACTTTTACCGATTAAACTAGCACACATTCAAGGGAGATATCTATTATTTATATATGGCTAACTGCACCGGTACTTAACTACCATCTTCAATAGTTCTATGTAATACTGTAGTATTTAGGTTAAGTATAGTCAATTCTCTTTAAGTATACTCCTTGGGAATATAGTAAACAAATTATGAATTTAAAGAGGTATGCATCTATTTAAAGCCCGAACTACATCACGCATTCAGTGAGAATTTAATGCATGCATAATTATGCATTGAGGTCTGACCGTATTTACAATAATAATCTCTATATTAATGTAATTAATAATATTAATAGCACATGTATGCAAAGAAAGAAAAATGGAAATTATGTATAAAGATAATAATTAACATTAAACGATGCATGAAGTTATCATACTAATTACGAAGCATGTATTGCATTATAAAATTCTTTATTCATAAACAATCGAAGGAATCAGATTATGAACAGTGATCTTAACTTGTATTTTCATTATTCTAGAATTCCTGTGGACTAAAATCTCTACTGTTTATATTTATTAACTGTATCTATTGTTTATACTTTGTACATGTACACATATTTAGTCATTTAATTAATTTGTTACGTACTTGTAATTGAATTAATGTAACCTAATTCTATCGTATAAAAGGTCTCTCTATATAAACCATGGTTTTTTAAAAAAAAAATCGAATTCCATCCTTATTTATTTCTAATTATTCCTCCTTCATTTTAAACTTTGACGTGCACCACTCGTCATTGCACGTTAGACCATCATACACGCTACCCCCTTCCATATTAGTTCTCAAAAACTCTTTGGGTTCTAACCTCCAGTTCAAAGTTCTTTATTTATCATCATGAAGAACATCAATCTTGTATTGTTCCTATCCATGATTCTTTATATGCTAGCTCAAGAATTCATACTAGTGGCAGCAAAAGAATCAAAGGAAACAAATGGAGTGCCACATGCGCCACATGCAACACAAGCAGCGGGGAAGCTTCCTGGAAATTGGCCAAAAATTGACGTAGCTCCACCACCAAATGAAGAATTTACAAAACTCGTAGATTTATCTAAAGTTTCAAAAGCTCCTGTTACGACGAATACGTCTAAATGCGATACTAAAGATCCTTATTGTTATTGGACTTGTACTGGTTGTGTTAGAAACAGTACTGACATTGTTTTGTGTCCCAACAAATTAGGTAATTGCCAATATTTATTTATTTATTCATTTATTTGTTTATTTACGTTTCCTCATATATTAAATTCAATAATCAGATTGGGGTCTTTCTTTCGACGATGGTCCAAGGTAAGATGTGATTCTTTCGTATAGTGATGAGATCCGAACTATGTCAAACTGGATATCTTATTCAAATTCGGATAACAGATATTTTATTTAAGAAGTAATCCGCATTAGATATATCCGGATTACCTGACAAATATCCATCATCTGTATATATTATTATCCACGAAGCAAATCAGATCATCTGGTCTGGGTTCGTTAATAATAACTTATTTATTCTCTGTCTTAATATACTTTTTATACCTTTGTTTTAAAAAACTTAAATTTCGAGTTTTTAAAGTTTAGCTTTATTTCATACACCTTCTTCCATTTTATTGCCCAATAGCTTTTATTTTTTTGTTAGCAATTCTACCAGGTTAAAAAAATTCATTACATTGTTAATATGTACGTAATTAAAAAGATATAAAGATTCTGGATTAGCCAGAATTTGTAATAAGCGTGAGAAAATAGTATAGAAGTATAAGCAAGACCGGGAAAAAATATATATTACAGATTTGTCTTATAAAAATAACATTATCCAGATAAGATAGATATCTGTTACCATATTTGCGCGTATTAGCAGGTCGGGGAGTTATTTTGAGTCATGGCCCGAATTAAGCTTAATTTAGGCCGACCATCGAAATTACACCCTTACGCGTTATTATGCGCAAATACGGTAAGCGGATAACATCCTATATGATCTCGGATAACGGATATCTTATCGGTACTGAACCGGAATTTTCAAGAAATAAAGTTCGGTTTAAAGTGTCTAAAACCGAACTTCATAATTAAATTTTAAATTTTAAAGTTCGGTTTTGACAGTCTAGGTGCTCGGTTTATCTAGTTCGTTTTAGAGAGTTGACATTTTTCTTATGCGTTATGCAATATATATGTATATGTTTTTTTATAGTGAGTTTACGGATAAGCTCCTCGATTATTTGGAAGCAGAACAAGTGCTAGCTACCTTCTTTGTTGTTGGTTCTCGAGTATATGAACGTCCTGACATTTTGAGAAAGGCCTTTAAAGCAGGTAAGAATATTGTAAACCCACATTTATTTCTGTATTTCTGATAACTATGTACAGTATATAAGACATACACATTTAAATTCTAGGACATCAAATCGGTATACACACTTGGTCACATCATGCTTTAACCAGTCAATCCGATGAAACAATTATCTCTGAGCTTCAATGGACTGCCGCAGCAATCAAAGAGGCCATTAATATAACTCCTAGACATATGCGTCCTCCATTTGGTGATTATGACGATAGAGTTCGTGACATTTCAACTCAACTAGGTTACAAAGTGGCAATTTGGGACTTAGATACTCACGATTGGATGTCATCATCTGACAAAACTTACCAACTAAATTGGATCGAAAATAATTTTACTCAATGGGTAAATGATCCTAAGCTTCGCAATACTGGTCATATTTCCCTTGAACATGATCTATATAATCAAACCGCTGCCAGAGTTCCTTTGGTCGTTCCGATTCTTAAGAAGGCTAACTATATAATTAAAACTATCGCTTCTTGTTTGGGTGAAAGTCCTTATGTGGAGGATATTGATCTTGTTGAATCGTCCCCGACACCTACAACTATTTGTGATACTACTACTACTACTGCTACTGATACTGCTACTACTAAGAGTTCAGATATTGCAGTAAAAAACGAAGACGCCAATTCACCTGATCCCACATCGACACCGAAATCTGATGCTTCGTTGGTTGCGAGTGATTTTTGGTCAATTAGTTTAGGTGTTATGGTGTCTTTTGCATTTTTCTTTTATTAAAGAAATAAATATGCTTTGAAATTTCTTTTCTATATTGTCGTTAAAGTTCTCATTTTTGATGCCAAGAATTGAATTTTATTTGTCCTTTTTTTATGGAGTTAGAAATAAAGATATTGTATATTTAAAAAAAAATACAATTCCCCAATGTTGGCATTGGATTATACACACATTTGTAAAAAAAATTCGGACAATCCTATATTTCCTATTGAAAATTATCATTTCCATAAAATATCCGAAAAACTATAGATAGATCGGGTGTCATTAAATTTTTGGTTTAGAAATACACACAATAAGGTAACTAAAAAGAGTGATATAACTAAGAAGAGGTAGACTACATAAACGCCTTTCTATGTACCAAACCAGTTTTGAAGATTATTAGTTACAGGGTGAGTTTATCACTCTTGGATATTTGCCGGAAGTTGCATCTGCCTGCCTAAAATTATTGACGCATGCAAGAAAATCTAATTTCGGTTAAATACAATTTTATGCGCCTTAAGTTGCAGATGTCAATTTCAAGCACAAGTTTATTAATTAAACAATGAACTCTCTTTCATGCAACATTGGGTTTTCCGACATATTAATCAAAATCATGTGAGGTGCATTAACGACATTTTATGCAAAATTGGTTTCATGTAGAATTTATTTTTTACCGCAATTTTCGTGACAGACGATTCTTAAAGTGTAATTAAAACAAGCTATAGTTTAAAACTTTGGTCAATTGAATAGCTTTATGCATTGCATTAACGATTTTGTTTTTATTTAATAAGTATCATCTAACTAGAAATAATATTTGTTAATTTAGTCTTTGTTACTAAAATCTGGCTTTATAGGTTTAAAATAAAACTTATTATTATATTATATACTAAGTTTAGTCAAAAAAAAACTTTGAGTTCAGAGTGCATTTTGAGTTATTTCTTTTTTGTAATATTTTGGTTTATATTTTTGTATCATTCTTCTTGAATTGATTCTTGATTTTGAAAATATTTTTTTATTTTTTTCAATACTTTTGTAGTTTTGTAAAAATCCTTTTTAAGTTATTCTTTTTTTTAATTAATCTATATATTTTAATCTTTTTGTTTACTTGCTCAGAAAGCTTACAGGTATTTTTTTTTGGTATTAAGGTGAGGCCTTGCCTATATCTTTATTAGTAATTTAAAATAATTACATATATATATACACTTACAGTTAGGATTAACCATTAAACTGCTAATTATACAATTATTATTATTTATATAAAACAAATAAATTGAAAAGTATATATAATAATAAAAGCTTAGACTAATTTATCTGCAACTTAAACCTATTAGAATAGTCAAAATTTACTTAAATTTAAATGTTTAGTATATGGTTTGATAATATGTTATATTTAATTTATATAAAATAGATTAAATGTTAATTTTGCAAATTGTTTAATTAATAAGAAGATATATGTTTAAGTGAGAATATAATTAATCAAAAAATTTGTAAAAACTTAAGTATAATCTTTTTTAAAAATATATATACCTAATAGTTAAGTTAGATAATATTGAAGATTAAATTAATATGTTAAAATTAAAGTTTATTTTATTGTATTTTCTAATTAAAAAAATGAATACAATATTTTTTTCATAATTGCTTATATGATTGCTTATTAATATTCAAAAAAATGTTAATAATAACTTAAAAAGTAGTTTTGTATAGAATATTAAAGTTTTGAATTGTTAATATAAATAATTTTAAAATAAGTTCTTTGAGAATAAGATTAAAATAGAATATGTTAGGTAATGTATATAGGAAATTAAAAGCTAAATAATGTTAATTAAATTATATTTATAATAAATATTTTTTTTTTTTTTTTTTTTTTATTAAATAATGCTCAAGTAGAAACTTTATTACATATAGAAATATAAGTTCTAAATTTAAAGATTTCTAAACTACATTTGTGTTACAATTAGGCATCCAATGTGACATTACACCTTCTATTTCCTATATTATGCTATAGCTAACTATTTCAAATTAGGTTCTAGCTAGGATAGGTTGGAGGAAATTTTCAAGTGATTGTCTGAACATTAAATTATGCAAGTTGTTAGAGAGTATTTCTGTAAGAGTCATTTTGTGATTAGAGATTTAGTATTTATAGGTTGAGAGAGAATTTTAGTATTGTTTAGAGAATTGGGTAGGGTTGGTAAACTGATTTTGGTGTGTTTGAATTTTGACGTGATGTTGCAAGAATTTTCTCATTGGTGTTGATATATATTACAAATAGACCAAAGATCTTGATGATACTAATTAAGTAGTTTGTCTGAGAGATGAAGTAAAAAAGTATCTGTTTGTTTATTGATAAGTATTTTGATGTTCTTATATATAGTAGTAGAATAAGTTCCAGTAATAGTATATAAAATATATTTATATTAAGGATTTGAGAAATGAAGTGTAAAATTTAAAAGAATATTTAATAGAGTTGTTAAGGTTGTATTAGTAATTTGGAGTGATCGAAGAGTATCATGTATAATGTTTTCAAGTGATTGTAGAATATTTGTAGTATTGCTAGAACATGAAAACAAATGAAGAGTATCTTCGATGTTTGTATAGCAGGAACAATAAGGTGTAATATAAAGGTAGGGATAACAAATATTAAGGTTTTGCATAGTTGATAAGTTATTGGTGAGAATTTTAATGTGAAAGAAGTATTTTTGTAAGTTATCTTTAAGAGAGGAGATAATTTTAAATA